TCATAGACTAACCAAGTTACAGTACAGTCATAGTGGCAAAGCACCATACAAGAAAAAAGATGCTGACTGGGCATTGGTGGTGCACGCCTTTAATCCCAGCACTCGGGAGGCAGAGGCAGGCAGATCTCTGTGAGTTCAAGACCAGCCTGGTCTACAAGAGCTGGTTCCAGGACAGCCTCCAAAGCCACACAGAGAAACCCTATCTTGAAAAATAAAAAAAAAAAAGATGCTGAGCTTGCCAACCGCTGTCTTGAGAGGCCCACAGACACACCCTGTAAGTTCTTAGAGAAGGAAGACTCATTCCTTGGTGTTACCAGAAGGTTCGATACAGGGATGTGCTTCCTTCTACAATCCCAGGGCCACTGGGTCGGGGAACCTATGCCAGCCACAGCAGGGAGGGACTAACCATGACAGAGGCTGGAAGCCAGGTCACTAGTTAGGCAGAAAGCAGACTAAAGCCACAATGTGGCATCTAGGGCAGAGATAGGGACCACAGGAGAGACATAGGCTTGGAAATTCCATCCTGTGCAGAATGAGGAGGGAGGAGGCAGCATGACTCAGGTTTTCAGCTATCCATGGAAAGAGGAAAGTTCAGAAGAGGTTTCATGGGTTAAACTACCGTTCACATCACTAGAACTCCTTAAAAATGTTGACATGCACAGCATACCTCCAAACCCCTCCTGGTTCCCTTATCACTCTTTGCAACAGCCCTCATTATCATTATCACACGCACATGTCTGTGTTTCCCCTTTCAGCCTCTTAACACATAAAACACTGAATATTTCAAGTTCAAGCCAAATCTAACATGATCAGCATACCTCCCGGAAGGGCCCCAATGCCGAATTACACAGACACGCAGGCCCACCTCACGCTTTGGAGGCATTTTGCTTCGGATGGGCTTTTGTTTCCCCGCCTTTCATCAATTAAGTATTAATCAACTGACATCCAGAGTTGGCTCTGGAAAGCTGAGTTCACGGGGGGGGGGGGGGGGTGATAACCCATCTGGACTAAAGTCTTCCTTGATAACCGACTTACCCATTCCTGAGCATAGATCAGAATGGGCAATAAAAACATTTTTAAATGCTTCTGTCTGAAATCACCCCCTGAGAAACAAATGTCATTAGTGGAACCAAACAAGCAACACAGAATTCTGCCTCATCTCATCAAGTCCCTGGATGTGAGAAAGGTCACGCTGGGACTTTCATTTCTCTGTGATGACTTACTGTGATAAACACCTTTGAAAATTCTGTGTCATTATGAATTCTTCCCTAATTTCATGTAATTAAATGTTCCCTGTGAGACAAGAACTAGGAATAAGATGCTTAAAATGGGAACTAACAGCACAAATGGAATGTGAAACTGTATTCCCGGGTGGTATCTGAACAGACACAGCTAAGAGTGCCAGGCAATGGAAACTATCTCCTCCTCCGTCTCACTGTGTCTTACCATATTGTTAGAAAGAACTGTGTACAGTGACCGACACCTCCCAGAAATACCGCTGACGCATGACAGCATTTACAAGCAACACCCCGTGCCTCCTGGTAGCATGAATGTCACTGCACCCATCTGTTGGCCTAGGCACTGTGAGGCAAAAAAAAAAAAAAAAAGCAGTCTGCAGGGTGGCCAGGCTGCCTCATAGGCCCATGGGAAAGCCAACATTTGCTGGCAGAACCAGTCCCCCGGCACTAAAGCCAAGCCCGGTGAGAGCAGCACCCCTTATTTTCATGTGGTCATTACTGGTGCCCAGGATCCCCTCTCTGGGGCTGAGACTTTTGAAATTGAATTCTTCCTTCCAGAATACCCAATGAAGGCACCTAAAGTATATTTTGTGGCCATAAATTAGCATACTAATTTAGTTAAATTGGGAAGAACACCTTTACAGGCTTTGAAAGGTAAGCGATCCCCAGCCCTGAAGATCTACACAATTCTGCTATTGGTCCTTTTGTTAAGTGATGGTGAATCAGCAGGTGACGGAGCGGAGCTGTGGATGACCAACAAAACCCAAACCGTAGAGGCAGGAGCGTGGACCAGGATCCACACTGAGTAGTGTGTGAGTCAATCTGGCCAAGCGTGTGTCACTTCTGTCCTGACAAGACTGCCTTCTTCTTTGTTTGCATTGAATAAATACTGTCTTAGAAACAGTTCAAAATAAAAGATGACGCATCTTCAGTTCTTTGGTGATGAAACGCACATTAGCAAATCTGTCTTGTCCTGATTCACGGCTAGAAGCATGTGCAAAGGCTAGCTCATCATCTGGATTGCTATGAAATGTTTGAGATCTCTGCTTTTGTTTGTTTTTGCATCATGATTTAGGTATAAAGCACTAAGAATAAAAGTAGCTGTCAGGAATAGGGGTTATTTTTATTTTACATTTTTAGAGGGAAATTGGTTTATCTTAATTTTGGAGGAGGCTCCCCCTCCCCTCCCCTTTTATATGAGGATTTAATCGCAGTGTTAAGAGCAGTGGACCAGCCGGGCGTTGGTGGCGCACGCCTTTAATTCCAGCACTTGGGAGGCAGAGGCAGGCGGATCTCTGTGAGTTCGAGGCCAGCCTGATCTACAAGAGCTAGTTCCAGGACAGCCTCCAAAGCCACAGAGAAACCCTGTCTCAAAAAACCAAAAAAAGAAAAAAGAAAAAAAAGAGCAGTGGACCAGGGTTCAATTCCCAGCACCCACATGGTGGTTCATAACCACCCATCACTCCAGTTCCAGGGGCTCCAATGCCCTCTTCTGATGTCCAAGGGTTCCAGGCAAGCATGTGATGAATAAGCATATATGCAAGTAAAACACTCATACATAAAATTAAATTAGTCTAAGTATGTAATTTTTTTTACAGTAGCTAAAACAGGACCAGCGAGAAGGCTCAGTAGGTGAAGGTAGCTGCTGCCAAGCCTGGTGATCTGAGGTCAATCCCCTGAATCCACATGGTGGATGGAAAGAAATATCACCGACAGTCACCCTCTGACCTCCACACAGGTGTCAGAGCAGGCTTGCATTCCCCCTCACCAAGCAAATAAATGAACAGCAGATAACTAATTCTTTAGAATATTCGTCTAACTTTATTAAGACACTGTAGATGGGCAAGCGCAACTGTCTGAACCAGAATGGTAACGTTAAATATCACAGCCCTCACTGCTAACGTGATGCCCAGGGTACATCCCCTGACTTCAAACATTCATTATCACCATTTTGTATGGCCCAGAGAATCGCATCCTGAGATTACCTTCAAATGCCAACGGTCTACACAACGTCACGGGAAGACACAAGAATGAGAAACCTTTGTTCTTGGAATGCAAACAAAGCAAACCACCGTGAGTCGAGGCCCTACATCCTACCTTGCCCTTAGCACACCTGCCAAACACAGACAACAGTGGCAGCTGGAATCCAGGGTGACTGTGCGTGGGTACAGCCGTGGAACAGGCACTGGAGTCTTGTGTGTTCAACTTCATGTTTCAGGGGAGGACAGCTTTCTAAAAACTAACATTTCTTAGTGTGCAAGCTTCCAGGCGAGTTGGTTCTCACTGGTGGCCTGAGGAAGAATCTCCGGGCAGGTGACCAGACGACAAAGCTATGTCCTCCTCTTGGGCCTCAGAATGCCCACCTCTGCGGTGTGGTACTAGTGAGATCTATCTCCCGCCATGGCTAGAGGGGTGAAATAAATGAATGCTCCATAAAGTGAAGTGTGTGGGCTGAAGCTGCCATTAAGCCCCTGCCTCCAAACGAAACGTAGCTCACAAGTCACTGAAGGTCCCAGCCACTGCACATGTGGGTAAAATAGTTGCATAGCTGAAGTGCATGTTAAGATAGATTAAAAATAGCACCTAGAAAGGAAATCCTCTTGGTTGGTATGCTAACTCTAAGGACAGTGTGTTCTGGGTCACAGCTGAGGGGATCAAAGGACACCAAGACACTATGTGACAAGGACACATTCAGACTCATCTTGGCTTTCTCCTTCACCGGAAGGTGCAAGGGCCACATTTAACCAGTGGAGCGGAAAAAGTTCTCAGCCATAGCACACTTTGCTGGTCTCTAAACTAGCTACTTTGTCTCCAAAGGGCTGGGAAGAACAGTCTAAACCCTTGTGACAAGGACCTGGAGTATTGGCGAGCAAAGTGACTCAGGGTATCTCAAGTGCCAACAAACAGCATGGTGGGAAGTCTGCCGACAGCAGTGAAGAAGAGCTCCTTGGAGTGTGACCCTGGGCCAGCATCACAGCCTTACTCAGGAACTTTTGGAAATGCCAGCCCTTTCCTCAGGCCTACTGCAGGGGGGATTCAGTGAGAGGCCTTTGCATTGTTGCAGCAACCCCACTAAGCTTGAGACCTCAAAGCTTAAACTCCCGGGAAACATTTACCGTGAAAGGGAAGGAAGCCGTGGGGAGGGCCCCCTCCAAACCATCATTAGTGGGAGGAGTGTTAGCTATGCCTCTGCTGGACTGCACCTCTCAACCCCAGGCTGCTTCTGGAATCGGGAAGGTAACAGCAAAATTGTCCACCTGCACAGGACATCAGCTTGGGCTCCCCAGGGGAACACACTGTGTCTGATCTATCTGTGGGTCTGCTGGTCCCAGTTCAAGGCCTGAAACCCAGCAGGTGTCAGCAAAGGTAGGAAACAAACTGAGAACTGCCTGAGGAGGGAACAGCCCCTCTTCCGAGAGTGGATCCCAAGCATGGAGTTCAGTAACTGTCTCCCTCCGTTCCTAACGCAATGGACCAGAAACAGCAAGGACTTCACAGGACCGGCAGTGGCTGTCCTCCTAGGCGCCACAACTACCACAGCCCGAGGGGAAACTGAGGACCTACCTAGTTCACGCCTCCACTCCATCTCCCCATTCACTCTTTAAAGCCAAGCTTGTCAGAGGCCAGTTCCACAGGTATTACTTCTACAGGAGCACATGCTTCCAAATATCTCAGAAGGGCTGTGGTGGCACACCACAGTCAAGGCCCGCCATCCACCCTCCGACTTCCCAGATTTCCCACAGCCCGGCAGCGCTTCCGTACCTGTAGTAGGACAGCAGGCCATTGCCCAGCACGAACCAGCGGCGCTGATAGCCCTTTAGGTAGTTAGTCCACTTGAGGAGCCAGCCCTTGTAGCTGTCCAGAGGTGGCGAGACCATTGGGAGACCAGTCCCTGGAACTGGACTCCCGACAGATGTCTTCGCTTGTCCTTGTCGCTGGAGGACCTGAGGCTTTGACCCCGACCTGGACTCAGGTTTGGCCAGGGGCACGATGCCTGCTGTTGACCCCTGAGACGGCTGCTCCAATGTGGTTTTGGTGACGGGCCCAGCCCCTACTCTTGGGCCCGCCTCTGACCCCTGTAGCTCCGATTCCTGCCCAGGCCCTGAGGGCCCTGGCACAGATGTCGTCTGGGACCCAGGTTCGGATGTCGGCACTGGCTCAAAAACTGGCTTGCACACCTGTTCAGCTAGCAACTCCCGCTCTGGTGCCTGCACAGGCGGGAGCTGAGGCTTGGGCTCCGGCCCTGAGCCGGATGTAGACGAGTTCATGCCCGGCGCCGCCGTGTGGCAGGACAGGCAGGGGACAACCGTGAACAGCGACGAGAGCCCACGGGAGCGGCCAGCGCAGCCGCCGCCTCGGCTCGGAGCGGCCGCTTTCCCCATAGAGCTGTGGACCCGAGCGCGGCCGAGAACGGAGTGGGGGCGGGGCGGGAAGGGAGTGGGCGGGGCTCATCGGAGGGCTGGGCGGGGCGGGGCGGGGTCCGTAGAGGAGTGGGCGGGACGGGTGGGGCCCTCACGTGAGAGAGGCGGACCCAGGGCACGCGTGGGTCCGCGTGGGTTCCTCCACTGCTCAGGCTCGGATGGAGCACCGTGGGCTAAGAACTGGGCTGGCAACGTGGAAGGCACCCCACGCTTCAGGCTCCTACCCAGGGCTGTTGTCCCGCCTGTGCCAGGCGCTGGGGGAACAATGGTGAATGAAGGCCACGAGGTGCGCTGGTCCCGCAGCTCTGGAGATGGAGAGCGGTGGGTTTTGAACAGCAAATCTCAGGCTCTGGAAGTCAGATCTAGGAAATTCGGCCAGGGCCCAAACCCTAGCTGTACAAACTGTAGCCACTGCATGAGTGTGCTTTTGCTCATCCGTATAGTGAAGACAGTACCTCCTTCGGAGGCTGCAATAAGATGGTGCATATGAGGCACGTTTGGCATAGTAGACGCTCAGTGAGTTATTAACTAGAGAGCTCTGTGGTACATTTTGTCAGGGACCAGAGCAGGCGATGAGAGCAAAGTTGACAAGCTTGGGAAGCAGCCCCTATGCATGCATGTGTCAGATGTGTGTGCAGCCCTCAGGGAGGGAAGCTAACTAATAAATTCTTAACAATATGTTTTGACTCCTGCAACAAATTGCCAAGCTCCCTAAGATGACAGGCCTGTCATTAGTTCTATCAAACAGGCAAGGTTTGCAGAGTCAGAGGGACAAGAAAGCCATTCAAAGAGAAACTAGTGTGTACAAAGCCCCAAGTCAGGGGAGAGTAGCTTGTCTGGCTACTGACAGGAGCAGGGCAGGACACATAACGGCTGGCCTACACCCCACCACAAGAAATGCCCTCTATCCTACAGAAACGGGGGCTGCTGGGAATAAGAAGATTATTTTTCACTTTGTTAAGTTATTGGTTTCTTTCTTTTGTTTTTGGTGTTTTGACACGATCTTTATATGTAGTTCAGGCTGGTCTCCTCCTCCAAATGTTCGCTTTTCAGCAGCCAGTGGGATTACAGATGTGAGCCATCACATCTGGCCCAGAGCTTTCACTTTTAAAATGCCAAACAAAAAAAGAGAAACTTGAAAATCTCTGATCTTTCCTGGAAAAAAAAAAGTTGTAATTCCAAGTCTGGAGCAGGAAATGCACAAAATGGACCCACCTGGAGTTGGAACTGTGGCTGATCTTGCAAAGGACCTGGGATCTGTTCCCAGTACTCACACAGTGGCTCACAACCACGCAACTCCAGTCCCAGGGCATCAAGCACCCTCTTATGGCCTCTGTAGGCACACGTGTGGTGCACAGGCATATACATGCAGACAAAGCAGTCATACACATTTTAAAAAGGAAAGAAAAGGTGAACTTACCCGGGAGTTCCTGACATACTAGAAAGCAAATAGCTTGTGGTAGTTTAAATGAAAACGGTCCATAGGCTCACAGGGAATGGCACTATGAGATGTGGCCTAGTTGGAGGATGTGTGACCTTGTTGGAGGAAGTGTATCACACTGGACAGGCTTTGAAGTTCAGATGCTGCAGCCAGGCCCAGTGTCTCACTCTCTCTCTCTGCCACCTGTCAATCCAAATGTAGAACTCTTGCTCCTTCAGCACTGTGTCTGCCTGCACACCGCCACGCCCCCTGCCTTAATAATAATGGACAAAACCTCTGAACTGTAAGCTATCCCCAATTAAATGCTTTCCTTTGAAAGAGTTGTCGTGGTCATGGTATCTCTTCACAGAAGTAGAATACTGACTAAGACAATGGGTAAAAAAATGGTTGCTACTAAACATTTTGCTACCCGACAAACTGAGTTCAGTTTCCCCAGTCCAGCTAATCCAACAATGGCTGGCTGTGAACAGAAAGTCCAAGAATCCAGTGGTTGCACAGTGGACAAGGCTGGATGTCTCAGCTAACCTTCAGTGTGTGCTCGAATCCCAAAGAGGTGGGCTCTAATGGCAGTGAAGGAATAGACTTGCTAGCAAGATGAGAGCAAGCAAAGAGCAAAAGCTTCCTTTTATTATGTCTGTTATGTAAATTTTGTCAGAATCAAAATAGTCACGTAAGCCGCATCCAAAACCAGGTAGAAGCAGAAAGCCACAATGAAGGGCTGTGCTGCACACACGAGTCTAATTAGCAGCTGCGACATGGTGCATCTAAGAGCCACAACTTTGCCCAGAGGCCACCATGACCTTACATAAACGATTTCTGAGCCGGGCATTGCTGGCACACGCCTTTAATCCCAGAACTCAGGAGGAAGAGGCAGGAGGATCTCTGTGAGTTCGAAGCCAGCCTGGTCCACAGATCGAGTTCCAGGACAGGCTCCAAAGCAATACAGAGAAACCCTGTCTAGGAAGAAAAAGAAAATTTCTGCAATGCCCTAGTCAACCTTAGATTGGCACCATCCTTATTGGTTGTTCTAACCAAGGATAATCGCTGTTCATTTTTCAAAACACATATAACCTTTATTTTCCCTTTAAATGCTCTCCATTCAACTGAGCCTGGTAGCACACACCTGTATCGCTAACACTTAGGAGGCAGAGGCAGGAAGATAGTGTGTTCAAGGCCGGCCTGGGGTTATACAGCTAGTCTCATCCCAAAGGAACAGAAAACACAAGTTCTTCCTATTTTAGCCTCCCCACATAAACCTCTGTGACCCACCACACCATGCAGGGCTCAATTACAGTCTTGTGTTTAACTTTTATTAATTTACTTTTATTTTTGTGCGCATTTGTGTTTTGCCTGTATGCATGTCTGTGTGAGGGTGTTGGATCCCCTGGAACTGGAGTCACAGATAGTTGTGAGCTGCCATATGCATAACTGGGAATTGAACCAGGATCCTCTGAAAGGGCAGCCAGTTCTCTTAACCTCTGAGCTGTCTATCCAGCCCTCATAAAACACTTTTCTAAAGAACTGAATTATGGCCTGAGATAGCTCAGTACATTTACCTGACTTGCAGGCACAAAGATGTGGTTCAAAGATGTCTGATATTCCTTGATTTAGTGTTGATGACGAGATTTTAAGCCTCAGGGGCTGGGATTGCAGAACTCTTTACACCAGTTCTGGTACTCTGTGTAACCACCACAATGGGAAGGCCTAAAACTCATGCCCTATCACTAATCCTATAAGACACAAAATGGTGAGAGGGCCACCAGCACATTTGAAGAGTCTTGTCACCATTTTCCTTGTGCCAGACCTTAGGGTTGGAGAATTAAATGTAGTGGGTTTAACTGGGCCCTGAGGTAGGCAGTATAATACTGAATAGTCAAAGGCAAGATGATTATGGTTATTGTAATGGGCAGCAGAGACAAAATGTTCATAATGGCCTAACCCACAATGGGCAGCACAGGTAAAGTGAATTTCGTGGTGGCATGACTTGTACGGACCTTTGGTTCTGGCTAATCAGTCATGGTGTTTCCAGGCATGAAATAGATAAGAAGCCTACTGCGTTTTTGTTTGGTCTGTAAAAGTGGGAAAATTCTCAAGCAAATGAAAGAAAGACTACACTGGATTATGGCAAAGGGGAACCTCAGTCCATGAATCAATTTCCCAGACTTGAGCCAGTTTGCAGACCCAGAACCCTGTGAATGAAGGGACGGCCAGGTTCCCCTGAGGTAGGACTTGATAAAATACCTAAAGGTTTTACTGTTAGCCTTTCTCCAGAGGGACCTACAGCCTTTCATGAGGGAATTGCACACTGTGGGAAAGGAAACAATCACACTTTCTGGGATCTATTGAATATTGATTCTGAATTGACTGATTCCTCAAGATCCCAAGAAACATTGTGGCCTTCCAGTTAAAGTAGGGGCTTATGAAAGCCAGGTGTTAATGGAGTTTTGGCTGATGTACAACTCACAGTAGGTCCAGTGAGTCCCTGAACTCATCCTGTGGTTATTTTCCCAGTTCCAGGATTTATAATTGGAATAGATATATTTAGAAGTTGGCAGAATCCTCACATTGGTTCCCTGACCTGTGGAACAAGGGCTACTGTGGTTGGAAAGGCTAAATTGAAGCCTTTAGAGTTGTCTCTGCCAAAGAAAATGGTAAATCAAAATCAATATCACATCCCTGGAGGAACTAAAGAAATTAGTGCCACCATCAAGGACTTGAAAGATGCAGGGGTGGTGGTTCCCACAATATTTCCATTTATCTCTATCTGGCCAGTGCAGAAGACATCCTGATCATGGAGAATGATAGTTGACTATCAAAACTCAATCAGGTACAGCAGCCTCTGTACCAGATGTGCTGTCCTTACTTGAGCAAATTAACCTATCTCCTGGTACATGGTGTGAAGCTATTGATTTAGCAAATGCCTTTTTCTTGGGACCCAGAAGCAATTTGCTTTCAGTTGGCAAGGCCATCACTATACCTGTGGTGATTTGAAAGAAAATGGCCCCCAAAGGGAGTGATACAATTAGGAGGTGTGGCTTTGTTGGAAAAAGTGTGGCCTTGCTGAAGGACATGTGTCACTGTGGGGTGGGCTTTGAGATCTTCTATCCTCAAGAGCATCCAGTGTGATGATGTACTTCCTTTTGCCTACAAGACACAGGATTCTCAGCAACTCCTCCAGCACCATGTCTGCCTGCGTGGTGCCATGTCCCACCATGATGATGATGGACTGAACCTCCTAACTGTAAGCCAGCCCCAATTAAATGTTTCGTTTATAAGAGTTGCCATGGTCATGGTGTCTCTTCACAACAATAGAAACCCTAAGACAATACCTTTACAGTTTTACCTTCAAGGTACATTAACTCTCTAGCCCTGTGTTATTACTTAGAAAGGATCTCGATCGTCTGTCTGTTCCACAATCTGTCACACTAGTGAACTATAATGTCAACATTATGCTAACTAGATCAAGGGAGCATGAAGTAACAGCCACTTTGAACTCATTGGTAACACATGTGTGCATCAGAGGATGGGAAATAAATCCAACCAAAATTCAAG